CCACATTCATGATGAAATTACCCAAAAACTACTAAGTTTGACTTTTGTTTTAGCCACAAATATGTTAAATTTTCGATCTTTGGGTAAATGCTGACACGTCTAGCGCTACATCTGGCAGCGAAATACGCAAAACAATCACCGCAAGTGTCAAAAACCAATAATAACAATCGATGTCGCTAGTCCAATTTAATCAAACAATATAAACTTCAACAAACAGCCAAACAGATATTTACTTAAATTGTCAAAGAATTTGTGGTTTAAACGTATCAACGATTAATTGATACGGTCAATAGACAAAAGATGTTTCATTGAAAGTCTTGGTTTTAGTGTGTCAACAACAATTTTGTTTAAAAAGCAATATCACATGTAACATGACACAGTCAAATAGTACCCGCTTTAACAAGGCTAAAGAGACAATTTCTTAAAATATCTTAATCTGTCGGAGAGAGAATTTCCGTTTTTGGTACATTTATGTTCAAACCTAGATAAACAAAGAAACTGTCCAAGTAAGTCCGCAATGAAATTTTGGATTTGTATCTAGAAGCAACAGATGTGTTACAGCTGATGCCTGTAACACATGCCTGTATTATGCAAAAAACATTTTCAAATTGAATTCAGATAGTCGTTGAATGTTGATGTATAAGGAGTGCAAGAATATTAACTTGATTTTAGAGGATGTCAAACAACTGTTATCCCTCCTTTTCAATTCCTCGATCTCACAACTGTTGTGAATTGAAAAGGTTTAGTAAAGTCGAAACTACTTTTCCTCAACCAAGTCTTTTGTGTTCTGTGCGTCAAAGGAGGGATATAAGTATTTTAACATCCTCTAAAATGAAATATCAAGAAATATTAACTTGGGTTTTCGATAAGCACGGGCCATCACCTTCGTACAATCATTTTCAAAACGACGAATTTGGAGGATCGTCTTCTTTGCTTGCTTCAACCTTTGTGACTGAACGGTAAGACGAATCACATTATGATTTACTTCACAAATAGAATTTTAATATGAATGATTTATGAATACAGTTTTTTTCGCTAAAACTAATTATTTTTAACTTTGATTATTGACAACCAGGAGCGAGCACCTGCACTTCAAAGACAAGTCTAACCGCAAATTATACGCGTGGCCGAATGGAAGTGCCTTCGATTTCTAAGACCCGTMTACACGAGCAATTTTTATGTGACATTTTTTTTGTCCGTGTTGACAAGCAGCCAGAAATTATTGTTGAAGACTCGCGCCAACTGTGATTTTGCACAGCGGAGATGTCAATAAACTCAACAAATTTAATTACCATAGTTTCGTAGTAGCACTAGAGATATATTCTATTCAAGGACTAAATTCAAGGACTACATTCAAGGACTAAATTCAAGGAAAATTTGCAATCAAGGACTTTTCAAGGACACCTGTCTGATGTTTCTTCTATGCAATTTTTGTTTAAAAAAGTTAGTAATAATAACATTTGAAAAATGACCATAGGATTTCACAGCTAAAAAAAAAACTATATATGGTATAGTTAAAACCTATTTATCAATTTCTTTGAAGTCTTATAGAAAAGAGAAATGTTTTATAGAAAATGACTTTTTTCTGTCATCTTTGCTTATGTTATTTTAAGTTAACATTACTAGTAATCTATGATTTGCTTTTGCGCAAATCGACAAAGGAAAGTTAGATAAATTACAATCTAAATAACTTTGATGTGCCCACAAATACACTCGAATCAGTTCAATGATGCGAACGACTATTAGCGGACATAAATAGATGAGGTGACGGTTTTGGCGGCCATCTTAACCGGTAGGCAAAGTGTCGCAAAATAACAAGGATATACCGGAAAATCGATGTCAAATAATTCCCTCTGAATTCAAAACTCGGAAAGAGTTATCAATTGCAAACGTTAGATACTGTAAAAAGGAGTTAACCGGCCAAATTTGAAGGGCGTACTTGATCTAGAGAGCGAGTAAACTCATTTTTAGTTCCCCATACATTTCTTTGTAATTTCCGGGGTCATCAGCGCGTCGCGCGTGAAAATTACAAAGAAATGTATTGAGAACTCAAAATAAATTTACTCGCTCCCTAGATGAAGTACATCCTTCAAGATTGGCCAGTTAACTCCCTTTTGTAGTATCTAACGTTTGCAATTGATAATTCTTTCCGAATTTGAATTCAGCGAGAATTATTCGACATCGATTTCCTGGTCTACCCTTGTTATTTTGCGACACTTTGCCTACCGGTCCTAGATGGCCGCCAAAACCGTCACCTCATCTATTTAAAAATATAAATAATAATCTTTAGCTACTTGAGTATCATTTATCTTTTCATCAGCAAAGCTGCAAGTTTTTCGTTCAGTTTTCGTTCTTGATCAAGCTGATTCTCAACTTTGCGAAGTTCAATCTCCAAACGTAATCTCAAAGAGCGTTCCTTTTCAAGTTCTGCAGAAAGGCAATCAACAGTGTACTGCAAATCATTCTCTGAAGTAGAATCTTTCGAGTTTCTCTGAGATTCATGTTCCTCAAGAAGTTTACGCACAAGTTCTCGATTTCTAAATTGATTATAATCAGGACGTTCGGCTACTTGCCGAACAGCGTTTGGGTTAGCGCGGGAACCATGAGTTTGCATTTCCATCATTTGATTCTCTATGTTGCTGTTACTATTTCGGTAATGCGTCGGGAGATTAGATGCCGCATGTATAACAACGCCGCCGGAAGCTTTGTAATTTCGATCATTCAAAATAGATGGCATGATATAAGGTGATGATGCAACGTTAGAAGTCGTACTAATAGTTGCAGTTGAACTTTTAACGGGTGGTTTAATTACTACTATGCTATGACCGCTAATCTGTTCAGTTGATGTAACGCTAGGTGTGAAGCCTCTCGACAACAATGCCTGAGTGGGAGCTGTTTGTACCTTGATAAAGTT